ATTCATTTTGACACATAATGATGAATATTACGTACTGATAATGTTGAAGTTGTCAACCTACTCAGTCAATCCATCAAACTAGTCAATGTGAAAGGTATTGATCTACGTGGGTGTTGTTGCATCTGATTGGCTAAAATATATCCGTGGCAATCACTCCAAGCGTCGAAGACAATGGAGACGCATTCTCCATGACGTTGGATACGATACGAGTGAGCATGCCGATGAATTAGAGGAAGCGGTTGTAGAAAAGAAGAAGTTTGATTTCTCGACGAGCTGGTACTTTTGCCAGCGTTTTATTCGCCTGGATGGTCTTCATGAAAAATAAAGTTTATCGCGACCGCTGCTACACACTAATGAGTGGTAACCTGAGGGATCGGAAAGCGCTCGCGTACCAATATCCGAGCGCTCGTCACGCTCTGTAATTAAGCGGAAAGGGCGTGTAAAGACTCTGTCATGGCACACGTATAAATGTTTTGATGAATTAAATTAAAAATCGAGTCTGCTGGAACTATCGAGACTCTTGCGCTTACCAACGAGCAAGCTGGACTCTGTGTGTCTGATCCATATCGTTTTATTCAAAGTGGGTGTCGTCAAGAAATCCGCGACGGAAATCGTGACACTTTTTGCCGTTAGGTGGAATAAAAAGTGTAAGAGAGGCAAAGTGTCGAAAATGCTTCTTCCTAAGTGAGAGGCTCTGTCGTATGTTTTTTGGTGAGAGCGATGACGTTTGCTTCATGGGCTTATGAAGATTTTGTAGTTGTTTTCTTCATTAAAATCCTCGCTTAGAATGACTATAAGGTTGTCGGTGGCGAGAAGGGCGCTTTTTCAAAAGATTGTTGAGTATGGTACCACGCTATGGAAAAGATTCCCGTCATGGATGATGCTCGTAAGAACAAAGTACAAAAAAGAAGAAAGTCATGGTGCAGTGAGTGTCTACTAAAGTATGAAAAGTTCAAATTAATGTATTTCTCGAAACTCTACAAGGATTTCGTATACTGTTGTGAAATTTGCGATCGCATTTCCCAAGATGAAGGTGATTTAAAGTATTTCAACATATCCATTTCACTTGGATGAGTTGTAGACGTGGTGATTGCAATTGGTGCAAAACTTGTTTCGACAATAGTTCGAACTTGCAATGTAGTCGTTGAAAAGACTGAAAAGTACATTGTAATGCGTGTTCGAAGACGTCGAAACTTTCCAGTTTGATGGTTTGGTTCTTCTTCCGGTTCACGCTCAGCATTCAAATTCTTTTCATTCACATCTTCTTCATCATCATGTTCCCAAAGTTCAAGATCTTGATGATCAGGCCAACGCATAAATTGCACTGCTACAGCACTTCCATTCGAATCTCCAATTGCACGAACACGCCAAGCACGATATGCCATAACTAAACGTTTTCGTGACCATCCAAATGGAAAATAATCTTGTGGAAAGACAACAGTAGGTTCTGGTTCATTTAATTGCAAAAGAAATACAGCATCAGGTGAGACCAAACTATTTGAAAGTGAAATGGTCATTGTTTCATTTGTTTCTGTAATTTGAAATGTTTTGGTCATATGAGCATGAATACAACGTGCAAACCAAGAAAGAGAAGACGCAGTTGTAGCTGATCGAATTGAAGCTACACAATGTGGTTGTTGTAAATGATGTTCATCGAATTCACCTTGACGATGCCATTCACCTGTTAATCCAATTGCTCCAGTTAAAGCTGCATTTCGTAATGAGGTTGCAACTTCGATATCTTGACGGGATGGTACAGCATCTTGAATAGCACGATAATAGTCAGTAAAGACTTGTAAATACGGTAATGGTCGTAAAACTCCTTCATCTTTATCTCCTGCTTGTTCTTGATCATCTGTATCAAGAACAACCCACCATGGTTCATGAATTAACCATGGTTCAGAGTGTTTTAACATTTCGTAAAGATCCCATGTACTCTCTTCATTCGATTCCATTGCATGTTTCCATCGTGGTAAATTCACAACTTGTGTTTCAACTGCTTGAGATAAGAAATCTACAAGTTGTTGATACGCAGCAAGAATTCCTCGACTAGCTTGAGCACAATCTCGTAATTTTTGACGCATATCTTCTAATACACCAGCATGAATAAGTGTTGTACAAAGTGTCACAAGATTTGAACAAAGATGTAAAAGTTTGGAATTACTCAATGGTATCGAAACAATTGTCCATTTTCTTGCTTCAGACTCTTCTGCTGTCATTCGTGGAGGTGTAAGCATTTCAAATGAATGACGAATGACTCGTGACGAATCCATTGAAATAATTTGTTCAAATCGATGAATTCGTTTGATAATAATACCAGCCAATTGTAAAATTCGTGCTCGTCGATATAATTCACTATCTGTAGGTACAGGAGTTTGA